CATGACCCAGCATTTGCCCAGCATTCACCAAGCATTACCCAGCATTCAACCAGCTCGACCAGCATGGCAAGCTGGGCATGCTGGAGCAATAACCCAGCATGAAGCTGCGATGCTGGGACCAGCTTGTGCTGGGACCAGCATAAAGCTGGGATGCTGGGACCAGCTTGTGCTGGGACCAGCACGGCAAGCTGGGCATGCTGGAGCGATAACCCAGCATGAAGCTGGGATGCTGGGACCAGCTTGTGCTGCTTTTTTCAATAGGGCACTGCTAATCGTCTTCAACACTTCTGGTAGATTCTCTGCTAAAAAAACAAATGTAGTGGATTCGAACGATCACGGATGACAAAAGAAGAGTGCCCGCGCGACTAAGGAGGCGCAAATACAAAGCATAATTCAAGCACCCACAACACCAGCTCCGAACACAGCCACAAGGAACTCAGTTTTACATTTCGTATATAATGTAAATAAATTAGTTGAAGGTCAGCGAATCCTTGAAATTGGTGACCCGGACATCGGCAACAACCAACCGGACTTCTGCTGATGGCTGAAATCAGCTGGGAATGTCCACATACCTACCGGTGAACACAGCCTTGCTTCTGGTATTGCAGGTGTTAAGGCGACAGACTGCTGGACAACATACTCTGAACTTTGGTTCTTGATAATAAAGTCACCCCCTCCCCTCCAAAAAAAAAAAAAAATAAAAGAAAAACGTAACATCGTCGTCGCGGCATTACCCCAGTCATTCGCTGCCATCATCCCGGATGTTTTGCATGCTCCACCAACAAACACTCCCTACGACAAGCTAAATACGGAACTAATTCGGAGGGCAACCGCGTCCGAAACATGTCAAATCCAGCAACTTCTGACAACAGAAGAGCTGGGCGACCACACAACCCTTAGATCTACTACGCAAGGTGCAGCATCTGCTTGGCAATCGAGCTGATGGTTTGGACGTATCAATCTTGCGGGAGCACTTTGTCCAGCGGAACAAATTCGCATGATCTGGTCAACTTCGTCAGAGTCACTGGAAACTCGCTCACATTTTTGACAAGATCATAGACATCTCAACTAGGGGTAATAGCACCGTCCGCCAACACACTGCAGATTCTGGGCCACCCGGAGGGGATCGGTGGGCGAGTGGGCTAGCGCACACCAGCTCGGAGCAGGTGGAGGTAAAGCTCGTGCTGCAGAACCCTGGGATCCTGGGTTCAATCCTGACCCCTGCCCGTTTCGATCTGGCTGAACATCGTACCGGCGTCCGGCCGTGTATCACTACTCCGTGGTGAACGTTAAAGACCCCAGGCTAGCGGTTGTACTGCACTGGGTAAATTGCTCATATACAGCGAGCGACTCGTCGCAACTTTAAAATGGCTGACCAACTACACGTTGCCATGAATATCCACACAACCCCAGTTATTTTTGGGCCACCCGGACGTGCACCAGACCTGCAAGAGCAACTGTCCTCGCTCAGGGTCACAAATGAGCGTCTTTCTGTAAAGGTGGATCAATTATCACGTAACATCGGAGACCTTTGAAGCGTTCGTTCAAGATCATCTACTCCGCCACGCACCGAAGCATCTCATAAACAACAGCGCCGCACATCTCATACCAGACAGCACAAGTTGTGTTGGCACCACCGAACACAGGAACACAAGTGTTCTTAACCATGCAAATATGTTCCAAAAGCCAGGGGTAGTCATAATGAAATAAGTTTACACTGGCTTAACACAAAAACAAAACAAAAAAATATATAAAAAACAACACTGACGTATCGCCACTTATCCGGGTGGCATCATCAGTGTGAACTGGCCCGGTGGTGGGAAGAGTCAAACCAGTCGACTATAATCTAACAAGTCCCCGTAAACGTCCGGTAGGGGCTCTGGTTTATGTTGCACGCCTTGGGGTCACGGCGGATAAACCACAATTCCACGAACATCCTTGAGCCCTTGCTCACGAGCCAAGGTCGCCGCATTGTCCAAGTCAAACGTATGCCCAGTCGTTTAGCTGTGGTCGAAGGGCTCAGACCTACTTCTCGTGGCATGCGTGGCCTTCACCACATCCCTTTTGTGCTCCTTAAGCCGAGTGCTCCTCCGTCTGCCGGCTTCTCCAATGTACGTGGCGTCGCAGTTGACACAGTTCACCTTGTACACCGCACCTGTCTGGGCGTTGGCGGGGGTAATGTCTTTCGGCTGAGAAATCACGTTCGCCAAAGTGTACGCAGGCTTGAGCACAGTCGGGATGCCCAGTGGGGTCGAAGTTCTTCTAATCGAGTCCGAGGTTCCCCAGATATAGGGAATACACACTATCGGCTTCCTTTTGTCTCCAGTGTCTACTCTGCACTGTTACATGCGCTTACGCGTGTCACTTATGAAGGATCCTGGATAATCGCGCCTGCCCAAGGAAGGGGAGATTTTTGTCAGTTCTTGGGACCGGAGGTCATCGTTTGGAGACAACACATCGCAACGCGATAAGTGTCCATACCACGGCGCGCTTGTGTTCCGCCGGGTGATGGGAATCAAAACACAAAACATTTTTGCTGTCGCACGGTTTATGGTACACTTAAGTTTCTTCGGCACTACCACCCACCCTGCGCATCAATGTGTTCAAAAACGGCAGCACACGGTCCCTCTCCGTTTTACACCTGAACTCGATAGCCGTAGGAATACTATTCAGCGCCAAGTGAAAAGCATGCAAGTTCACCTTTTTCAGGATTACCAAAGTGTCATCTACATACCGGCAGTAAATTTTCAAGGGGAAAGACAATGAGTTCATCACCAACTTCTCCACATACTCCATTTCCAAATTGGCCACCGCAACGGACACCGGGCTTCCCATCAGACAACCTTCAATTTGATTGAACACCATGTTGTCAAAAGTAAAGTAAGTCTGGTTTAAACAAAACCACAATAAAATCACAATATCCTCTACCAGTAAGGGCGTGCGGAATCCCAAGGTGCAATCATCTAGCAAACGTTTTTCCTCGACATCAACAGCCAACCCGATTGGCACATTCGTGAACAAAGAGACGACGTCAAAGGAAGCCATTACGTCGTCATCCTCGAGCTCTTGCTTACGGACAGCTGTTAAGAAATCCGGAGAGTTCACAACAAACAGCGTGTTCTTTTCAGTCAACGGCCTCAGCAACTCCCCCAGAAATTTCGAGAGGTCGTATGTAGGCAATACAAAAAAAAAAAAAAAAAAAAAAAAAAACGAAACAATTGTACGTAGAGGACAGCCTTCTTGTGCACCTTTGGTAGCCCGTAGATCTTGGGGGAGGACTCATCGGACGAAAAAAAGCGGCGATAAAGAACCTCATCGAGCCTTCCCTTCGTCCTAAGCCTGCGCAAATGATCCACAAGTTGTCTTTGTGCTCGCGCAGTAGGATCAACGTTCAATTTTACACAAAAAGAACAAGCTGTTTGACGTCCCGTGGTCGTTAGACTCTCACGTTCATCATCTCTGTAAATGCGTCAATATTTTAAGGGCCCCATCTTTTTGGGTGAGCAACAACCTACGCTCCCAGACATGCTAAATACAGCTTGATAGCATAGCAACTTAGAATGAAGGATCCCTATATATCCGTCAAATGCAGTTTTGTGACCATTAGGAATTGGCGCAAAATGCTCAACTCGTCAGATGAGTAGCTTTCCTAGAGAAGAAAGCGAAGTGCTGAATTTTCCTGCGTCCCTCAAAGAGGCGACCATTTGGCTTAGATTGGACACACACGACTGTGGTGCCGGTATTCGGCTGAGACTGGGCCTCTCACCGATTGGACACGAGTTCCGGCCGTACGCTCACACAGTTTTCGTGTACAATCTTCGGCCTATGGTCGCCTCTTTGAGTGATGCAGGAAAATGCAGCACTTAGGCATTCTTATCTAGGAGGTGTTGCGTCTGAACTTCGTCTCATGGTAAAGGCGAGCGGAGCCGATGTTCCGATTGGATAAAGCCAATCCAGCAGCCTCTAAGATGCATCGTCACGCGCTTGTCGTCTTTGTGCGTTTGATATCACTAATTATACTAACCACTGCACAAAAAACAAAAACAACAAAAAAGAATGCGAGGGATTGCGGCGTTTTTAGTGTGTGATTAATTTAGCCGGTGAGAGCAAACACTCGGACAACAGGCGCCGCGACGATTAAGTTTTGGTACTGCTTGAGATGCTTTACTGGATCAACTGCCCTCTGTTGACAGCCATGGAATCTCTGTGCAATGGCGGACTAAAAGCGCAACGTCACGGCATCCTCTACGCGTTTTGTTGGTTTAGAATGCAAAAAAAAAGCACTTACGAAGTAAGGTGACGAACGCAGTTACGTTGCACTTTCGACGGCATTTGATTGGATCGTCGGTCTCTAGCGTTGGCCGACCTACAACGTTTCCTTTGTTATGCAATGACTTGCATCTTCCACGATGTCAGTTGTTCCGCCATTGTGCAGTGGTTCCAACCATCTAACAGCCGGCACGTAACTCTCGAAAGGGGTCTATTGTGAAACGGAGTATAGACCAAGGGCCCTAATCTGGACACTTGGCGAAAAAGTCGGCGCGAAATCTAGCGGCCGTGATTGGCCAATGCCGCACTTGACCTTGGCGCCGGCCAATCAGAGCCGCCGGATTTCTCTCCGACTGTTTCGCCAAGTGTCCAGACTAGGGCCCCAACACGCGGCTTTGACGCCACACCTCTGCGGTGGCGCTGTTGTCGCCACGGCGCATGCGCAGAAGCTTCGCCTCACGCGAATCTGCTTTCTACGCTGGCGCAATGCCGACACCTGGTGTGGAAAAACATGGGCTTGTTTGGAAACAGCGGGTCGGTCTATAGGTGTCGTATATGCGAACAAACATGAACGTTTTTATTTATTTTTTGAGACGTCAAACCATGGGCCATTATGACCTCCTCAGGTGAACGCCTTTTGGATATGTGTGGAGTACCTCCGCCTTCGAAGTCTTAATCTGGCACAACGAATGAAGAGGACTGATAAAGCGAGGACCAGTTTGTTCACTTACGGACAGCGAAGAGCTGAGAGCGAGACCGACGCTGCTAGCCTCGTTCGTGGTGTTAACCACAGCCAAGATGAAGGTGGCCAACACAATGGCGAAGCCGACGGCGCTGACCAGTGCCCGGCTGACCCTGAAGCAGCACATCCAGGCGTTGTAGGGCAGCATGCCCCATTCCGCGAGGTGACAGAAGTGGCTGCAGAAGCGCTCCACCATCTCGTAGGACCGGACGCTGCTCAGCGAGTCCACGGTCTCCGTGGCGTGTTGCAGCACTCTTGACATGAACGCGCCTTCCACGAAGCGGGCGGAGTTGGAGGCCCGAATGATGAGGTGCTGCTCGAAACCAACACGAAAAAAGAATACTCAGTTCACATATGAGCTGCGACATGCCATGGTCACTATACCCTGTTTCACATTGCGTCTGCCTGCGGCCCACGCTACAATCCGTTACATCCAACCAAACAGTGCTAAAAGTGCATCGTTACGGTGCTCGCCAATTTTGTGCCTTTGCGATCGCGGGCTAAACCAATTACCCGCAGTGCGTGCGGCGAGATTAGAGGGTTCTTTCCCGTCCATGATTGGCTTTAACCGATCATAGCGAACGCATAAAATGGACGAGCGCCGGGACGATACTCTTTTGGAACTGCTTGATAGATTTCATTGATTCACAGCGTGGGCTACGGTCGGGCTTTTTAGGAAACGGAGTAGAAGAGCTGAAGGCACGAAGGGCGTGTCAAGACCCCGCGCATCTTATTAACCATCCAAAGCACATGAGCTTGGAGCATAACCCAATGAAACCGCCAAAGAACATGTCACACAGTAAGACGTACGACCATAATACGGGACGTCGTGTGACTATTCAGCTGCTAGTGAATCTTAGCTCCAAAATGTTTCGGTGGCGCCCTCTTGTTGCTTTCTTTCGTTATGCCACGATCGGGATTTGCCTCGGCGTGAACCGGTGGTTGAAGAGGCATTAGGGAGTTTTAGCAGGTCATTTTTACACGAACGGTTCGCTCTCGAACGCATCCGCGACGCCACTGCGCATGCGCACGCGAGTCGTTCGGGGAGTCGGGAGGCTCTTCTCGTTCGTTTCTCCCATTCTGGCCGCTGGAGTTGTCACCGCAACGCAGCCAGCACCGTTCACGACTCGGGTAAAAAAAAGATGACGATCGGTTCGGCTACCGCCTTCGCCGACCCTGCCGAGCGTTAGGCTTAGGACAGCGGGAGGCGATTTGCCGTCCTGTTAGTCTGCTTCATCTGAGAGGTTGAACGAAAATATTTCGAGGACTGGTCACAATGCTAAGCGATCGTGAATGCTGTAAACTGCGCATGCTAGTAAAGTTTTGCGATCTGCGGGCAGACTAGCTGGCTTGGCGACCGCGAGCAGACGAAACGATTTGGTTCGACGGCACACAGCGTGAACGATCGCTTAAGTTCAAGATGACAGAGACACACCACATACCTTTACGGTCGTTCAGACACTTTTTATTTTATCTAGCTTCGCATTTCTTGAAATTCCGACCGGCAAATGTTACGTCGGCCGTATTGTTTACATCAGTCGTACGCCGGAGACACGAGCCGCCACCACGGTGCCCGCCACCGCCACAGATTTACACGTTGCAGAATGTTTAACATGTTTACTAGAAGATGGCACCCCCGTTTAGCACAATCATCATCATCGTTTACACTGTCGCGCAACTTTCACGATTCGCTAAAGTATGTCGAATTTGACGTACGGTTTCACGGAACGGACCAGCTGTACCGTTTGTACTTTCGGAACCGTGTGCCTGAAAAACGACTCGCTAAAACTCCCTATTATCAGTATAGATACGGTAGCTGGAACGCGTCTCTGACTGGTTCGTTTTTCGCCTCCAAGAAAGTGGTCCCTCGATTTCTTCCTGATGACATCATATTAGTGTCTTGTCGCCTGTCGCGACCCTAGCGGCGTAACAGCGGTCGTGGTGTATGTGGCAGGCTTCTGTTCTACTAAATATCGCTCTCCACCTCGACAGTCTACGGAAACATCGGCGGCCAGGAGTTGAGACGCCGTGACGACAACGACACTCACGTCTGCTACTGTTTTTCGACGGAAACTTTATGACCAACCACCAGGATCCCGACATCCTACAGCATAACACTGCAGCATTTGTGACGTCGTTTGTTGCCACTTCGGGACCACTTTAAATGCACGGGCGGAATAGGACATTAGGCACACCAGTCGGAGACGCCTTCCAGGCACCGCAGTATGGAGGAAGCTTTGGTTCGGTCATTCGAAAATGTCGACCGCAGCAGCCGTTTTGCTCGCGCGCGTCGCTAATGAATGCGCATGACCATAGTGCACATTTTTACTGTCTCATACTGGGGTCTGCCTAAGTACAAAAAGCGGATTTAACAAATACAAGAATCAATAAAATACTAAAAACTCTAAGGACAAGGACAGAGAGCCCAGTTCTTTCAACTAGCAAACTTTAACATAGTTAAAATTGGGTGCCAATAGAAAGGAACAGAGGAGATAGAGGAGAGAAGCGCATTGTCGGTTCTCCCTCCACTGTTTCTTTCTATATGCGCGCCATTTTGACCATGTTCAATCATTACCAGCTCGCCCAACTAACCACCTTACTATAGCACACTTTCTAGTTAAAAGAACTGCATTGTCTGTCCTTGTCGCTTAGTGTTTTTATTCTTCCATTGATTCTTAGAGTCTGGCGCGGGGCACAGATGAGGCACGACTCCTGCGTAAGCGTTGGAATGGGACTGCTTTTGCTTGCGTCCGAGTTCCAGACTAACAGTTTGTGTCCTGCACTGGCGTCCGGTCGGTTCAGTACAATAGCATTGTTTTCTATAAGGCGCTGAGTCCAAAACACTTTAAAAAACGCACGTCGTGCAATTCGCGAGCCTTTCAATATCGCCATGCAGTCATTAAAATTACGGCATTAGAATACACTAACGCTCAAGACCGAATCGCGAAGAAAAACAATCCCATAGTGATTGACTATGATTGCATTCCATACCTTACAAAGGAACTGCTTGTATTGAACGCATAATCTCTTTTTCACGAAAGACGTTGGGAGACTTAGCATGCCGATGAATTCGGTGTTCTTCCCTGCATGTTCTGTTCTACCACCACCGCCTCGCTCCTTACGCGACCTCAGGGATAAGGACTAGTTTACAGGGATCTTCTCAGAAGGAAGTATGCGTGCAGCAGCAACACGTCGGTTATGTCACGACACATTTGCGCTCTCTTTGCGTGCTGCAAGACAAAAAAAAAAAACAAAAAAAAACGTATGTTTGTTTGGACACATTCCTAGCGACCCTGTTTATTGACCCATATGCAAATTCTACACAATATTTTATGAGGGAACATAAACCCGTGTTTTCGAGCATCAATTATTTAACACCATCAGAGAACGCGCTTTACACAATTAATATTTAGTAAGTGCAGGACTTTAACCTTACATAGATGGTGTTGACAGTGCGTCTGAAACAACGTGGCATAAGGGGTTGTCAATGATACATATAACATTGCTTTACAACACTAATATGCACTCATGCCGTGGTCCGTATTTTCCTGACTGCGAGGTAAATGGCCACAGCGGGAAGAAATAAGCAAGAAATAGAAAAGAAGCGAGTTAAGGTAGATCTTCCTAGAATTGAATGTCGATGTCACACTAATCTAGTAGCTGAATAAACCTCTCTTTTATATCTACTCTTATTTTTCTACCGATAGCTTATGTATTAGAATGTCCTTGAACCATTTACAGCAACATTAGTAAAGGTTGTGAAATATCTTATCAGTATATGGCAAGCCACAACCACGATGTGAAGTGTAAACCACGTAAATTGTACGTATGCTGTCAACACCTTCACGTCGTTTCTCCTAGCCGAGTCGGCAGCGCGCTTGGCTCACACATGTGGCTCGGGTTCATTCCCGGCACTGAGTGCCTTTTACCTTTGTTATGTAAATAGAAGAATCGAGAAAGTTGGATAACCGTCCAGCTAGTTCACTTTCAGAACGCACAGTTCGAGAACGTTCGCGGCAGAATATTCTATCCTCCTAGGAAGGCAGAGAAGACGCTGTGTCGCGCCGTGTAACTCAGTTTCGCACTAGCACTCCATTGTGCTATTTCGCCGACATCAACGCTGAGACACTCGTTATGTCTCTTTTGGTCTGGCACAAGATCCACTGTCTCCTGGCCAGTCATTCGTGACATTTTCGTTGGAGGTGCAGGGTAACTCAAGCAATGCCCATGGATTGTAACCCCCAACGAGCCATCGGCCCAGCCCGATCTCAAGCCCACCGTTAGTGGAGACAGCCGAAGAACGAGCAACCGCTGTATCTAATGCCAGTCGCCGTATGCGACGGCAGCACCCGGAGTTCGGTCGATTTTCAGAGCAGCCGAGGAAGACGACGCTGACGATGAGAACTGAGTCGCAGAAGGCAGCAGCTGCCCTTTCCGTCATTTACCTGCCTTTTGCGCATCAGACAGGGGCACCGTTTCCCAGCGAGATTTACAAGTACGTTGGGGATTGGCTCAACCAGAAGGCTATACCCGTTTTCACCTCAAGAACCAAAGTAAAAAAAGTCCGGCTCCTCGCGGAGCATTAATAATTTTCTCTTTTACGAGGAGAATTTATATATATGTAGGTGCATTTTAGATTAGATATATGTTATCCAATCAAGACGTATACGTTTCAAACACCAAAAAGGATCGCTTCTTCCTCTGACAACCTTGTAAGAACTACTTCGCCCGGCGTATGAGCAATGCGCAAAACGTCCTTTTTTCTTGAGGTGAAAACGAGAATAGTTGCGTTTCATTTTTGGTGAAAGTCGACATTATTCATGCCTAAAACTCTCCACATTGGGAAGTTTCTCGAAATCATCACATCTAACCTTGAGGTCAGTCTACATACCATTCCGCATACTAGGATGACGGCTCCCAGGCCTCCTATCCCGAGAACTATGGGACTCTGGGTTGCGATGACGGACAGGTTGGAGACGGCTTGGAAGGAGTTCTGGATACACGACTTGAAACAGATGTAGTAGCGGGCGTCGATCATATCGAGGTCGATCGAGAACCTGTTCAGCAGCCTTCCTCGGGGTGTCGAATCGAAGAAACTCACGGGACTGGAAAGAACATGACTAAGCATGTCATGGTGCAGGGACCGGGACAGTTGCCGAGTGCTCACAGCCAACAGCGCACCGCCAGAACATCGGAAGAGCACTGCGATGATGAAAAAATATCCGGAGTATTGAGCCTTACGGAATAGTGTAATCAAAATGAGCCCTCCGAAATGTAATTTGGCCGTCATCTTTATTGCATCCTTTCAAGTACTCGCAAAAAAAAAAAATCATGGTGCATAAAGCTGCCTGCACTAACTCCCAACTGAATCTACTCGTAACTGCAGATTGAAAACACCCGTCTTGCTAAGAATATCTTAAAGGAAACACAGGCTTCAACTTGCTGACCTTTCAAGGACGTTTATTTTAAATATCCGGTTAATTTAAATAGATTAAGCAAGGGCATATTGATTTTGTGCTGCCTCTTTTACTAATTATTTTGAAAACATGTCAGTGATATATTTTTTCATTGACGCTTGCGCACGAATTTCGGAACATATTTTCCGGAGAAAAGATAGCGTATTTTATATTTTTTAATTCTTGTACTCCTCCGTTTGAAAAAAAAAAATATTGAAGTATATTTCTCAACCACGTGCACCTTTCACTTTTACGTAAGTATTCTTGTAACACAAGGTACACACTAAAAAACCCGACTTTACCTCAAGCATTCCACCTTCCGTAATGTCAGTTTCTGTACAGTATTGTTCAGGGGTGGTATGAAGCACTAATAAATATTTCGGAGACCCATTCAAGGCACCGTAATAGCGGGACTGGCTACATACCATCGGCAATGCAGAGCCCTATCAGACCCATGAGCCAGCTCAGATTGGAGGAGTCATCGTCGGTGTCAGGAGTGTTTGCGTCCGTCAACTGTTTGATCCAGAGCAGTTGCCAGGCAAGAGCGACGGCACTGGCGATAAATAAGATCAGAGCCACCGGTAGACAGATACCGGAAAATTTATGGAGTGCCCACATGACCTCCCAGGATCCCTAGAAGATGAAAGCCGCGCGCTTTAAAAAAAACAAGCAGAAAGAGGGTTTGTAATGACTAAAATTCTTAAGTGCCCTTTGCCTGGTGCAGCTCTCTATAAAAGTAACCTTTTGTAATGGGATTATTGAGTAAAAAAGAGCGTAATCCACAATGGCATGGAAGCGACGACAAGAGCTAAGAGTCAGAACTTGGAGAAGCTCTTGCGCATGCCCCAGCGCAAAAAAAAAAAAAAAAAAAAAAAGCCTCGTGTCACAACATGGCACTAAAACCTTTTTTTTTCCAAAATGGGTTGCGAAAACGTTGTTTAGTTAATGGGGTTGCGAAACGTTTTTACACAATGTTGATTTGTATGCGTATTTGAAATCTCGGTTGTGTATTTTATCATCTACATGTATTCCGTTGACAAGCGTAAAAAAGACCATTTCTGTTTTCCCAGGACCTTCTCGCCCAGTCCTTAAAGGGGCGGTGCAATGATTTTAACACTGAACGAATGTGCAGCTTGTATTTTTTATATTGTTTACTTCGGCATAAGTAAGAGAAAAAGTGCCACCATACCCCAAAATACCTCTATTTCGCTGCGTAATCGTAAAATAAAAAACGCTTTTTTTCCCAACCTGCGGCCACATGGTGGCCGCAAATGGAACCTGTGGTGTGACGTCATTCGGAGTGGTTTTTGTAAGTGATAGTGTTAGGCAATTGTAAGCTTGATTTAAGGTTAAGTTTAAAAAATATTGTTGTTTAGGCATGTTGAAACGCTTCAAAGGCCTAATATTGCCGCTAAAAGGGTATGAATTATTTGTGGCGCCATCTACGCAAGTCAACAAAATCTGCCGTCGCCGTCATCTGCCGACGCCCGAGGCGCCAACGGCGGCTACACGAGCAACCCGGGACGTTTTGTCTTGCCCTCACTCGACGGAGGGTGTTGGTCGTGGTCCGTAGTATCGTGGTATCGTTATTGTTCCTCGTGTCTCGACCTCGACTTCGACTTCGACTGCCCGCCGCGTCGCAAGCATCTTGCACTCGACGTCGCTCAGGCCGTCCGCCCATGCCGCCATGTTGGTCGGGAATCGGCGGGAGAGCGGGAGAGCGGCGAGCCTGGCGAGCCGGCGAGCGCTGGGGAAACGGAAGCCAGAAGAACCCAACCGGAAACCATCGCCACTCTGAATGACGTCACAGGCGAAGCTGTTGCCGCTTCAATGTTAATACCAATTTCTTTTAATTTTTTTTAATGACAACTAGGGCAAGCAGGAAAGAATAGTTTTCGGTCCTTCGTTTTATATGTGGCCGGGATCAATTCCCGAAATTAATTAGCCAAAGTCCGCGAATTGTTGCACCGCCCCTTTAAAAAACCGTCCCTATGATAATCAAAGGGAAATTTGGGTTGTCATTGCACGATGGTGACGTTGACCAGACTCGATGAGTGATGTGAGTGTTAGATATCATCCCAACTGTGACGCCATAATGACGACACATATTCAAGGTAATCGGTGACGTCAGACGTCTGATATTTTTCTCAGATAATTGAAAGATGGCTTGGGCTCTTTTAGCTCCACAGTCGCCCCTTACAGCGTGGTTGGCATTTTGGCTTCGGACCATACGCCGGGTCGTATATGTTGGCGATAACGCATATCGTGCGTCAGAGGAGAGCTTGAGAAAACCGTTTGAAACTTTCATCGGTCGAGCCGTGCCCCAACATAGTCATCGAATGAAGAACCGCGAAGGCATACTGGCTTTGACCAGAAAAATACTGCTCCGCTAGCAGAAAAAAGTTGAAGATATGTGCAATGAGTCACCTTTACACACTTAAGGAGAGTGGAATCAAATTAGTGCTAAAGAAGACAGTAGTAAAAGGACTACCTCTGCGATAATAGTGTATATACGACCGCAAATCACCCAAACTGGATGTGCCGATAACTGAAAGGTCTGGCGCGTCCCTCCCTGCTACTGACTTCGCAAGGTTCTGACTTCCTATCGCCTTTTTGGGTAATTATATTTTATAGCTTTACTATATCTATTTATTTTTAATTTTTACGCACAACCATGTCCACAAGCACATTCTGATGTGAATGCGACACGCGGAGTTACGAGCAGCATGATTAGTATGGTTACCAAAAAACAACAACACCAAATCGGATGTGTTTAAAACCGAACTGTATCCCAACGCGTGACTTTAGCCTCATACAACTGAAACAAGAACACCATTAAGAGACTATTTATTTTTATCATTCTCACTTTGTTATTTCAAAATAAAAAAAACGATAAAACATGTTTTTCTAAAAAAATTTACGAAGCTGCCTTGACGTTTTGTTGCTGATGTGTACAAGTGTCTCATGGTCCTTTCAGATAGTCAAAAATCACAAATATTAAATGTGGTTTATAAAGTGCAGATGCAATATCTTGCCGTAATCCTTAGACATCAACATATTTGGGGTGTAAAAGTTATAAAAAATAATGATCAGGCAGATGCACTTTCTTTTTGCAACCTCTTTAACCCTTTATTTGTTTTTAGTTTTTGGGAATTTCTGACCCTCAAATAATTATTTTTGGTGTTCAAGAGTGCATTTGTCGCCTTAAACATCGAATATCTAACCATAAACAAAATGCGGTCAAAAATGTAAAAATAAGAACTGCTCTTTGTTGGCAGAGCCGCAAGCTAAACCATGAGCAAGCCTGTTTCGTCCAAGAAGGTTGGGTGCATGAAACGGGGAAAGCAGACGACCTCTACAATTGTCCTGAATAGTTTGGGGACGGTTCTACCTTGACAAGCTCGACACGCCCCAATTGGTTAAAGGGTTAAGTTCGTACTGGTGAGCTTGCGCCAATGATGGCCTATTCACACGACGGAGTGATCCAGGATGCATTGATCACGTGACGATACGTCCCTGGATTGTCCGCTTCCCAAGCGCATCCCCGCAGAGGAGACGAAGAGCAGACGACAGCAGGATCCGACTGAACCTCTTCGTGACCCCTGTGCCGTGTAACGCCAACATTGCTCTGTGGCGCCGGTGTCCAAGTGCGAAACCGTCATTTGCCACTATACCGAAGAAATATTGTTGTGTGCCGTTGTTATATACTGAGTGAGAAGAAACACCGTGATAGGCTTGAGGAGAAGCGGCACTATCCTTACTAACGTAGGGCATCACGCAAGCATAGTACTACTCGAGTTGGCTTCGGTGTAGAAGAGATGAAGTTCCGCGTTTACGGAGGGGCGTTTGGAGATGACTTCACGCATTGCGCGCCAGCGCACAGCAGTTCGTTGCCCCAAAGCCGCAAGAAGGGTCTTGCTGGGTGAAAGGCTAAATAAACATGCAAAAACGATTGCGGTGTGCTAGACGAGTTTTTACTGGAGCTTCTTGACACGAACCCAGAGGGGTACCGGAACCTGTGGTGCATCAGCCGGTGAAGGTTCCCGCAGCTTCTTTCACGCGTGGAACCAAGAGTTGCGTGACGAAAGGAATGAGCGATGGGATAAAGTGTGATGGGTTCCATTTTTCTTTTTGTTCCCCCGAAAAATAACATATTGTGCTGTTGCCAGACTAAGTAATACGCTGCCAGTCAAGCCCATTGTGGCTTAGGCAGGTTTGACATCAAATTCGCTTTGTTCATTTGCAATAAAATTATTATTGTTATTATTAATGTTCTTACTATTAATAATCCACAACACATTTGTGAGTGAGATAGAGCTAGGCTATTTTAGTCTGCGCGTCCGTGGACGAGACGAGGATCGCAGAAATCGTTGACGTGATGGTCATGTGATACACGGGCCACGGAAAAAATCGCACCTCGTACCGTCATGTGAATCTGCCGAGAGCAACGTCATTTCGTGTGAATCTGCCATGATCAACGTCATTGTTGTCGTTGATTAGCTGCTACAAAAGCCATACACCTGTTTGCATTACTTTTTGAATAACATTTTTGGCACCAGAATAGCGGGATCAGTGTAATAAAATATGCTCTTTATTTTTTTTATACAGGACCCAACATTCCATGCACCATGCCAAATAAAGACAACGTAAGATGCATAACGTTATGTTAATGGCAACATCGATTCCAGGTGTCATTGGCTTTGATGACAGTTTGCAAAGGTTCTGCTATGCATAACCGCTAAAGGTTTAATGTTATACCAGCGCCGTCATCCATTTAGGTTACACAATAACTGTCGGCCCGCCTTCTCTTGCCAACGTATTCCTTTTCTGGAAAGAAATGGCTTTTGAGGTTGATGTGCTTTTAATACTTTTGTTGGCCCAGTGGTCCACGAATAGTCTTTGTCTAGCTCCTGCTCAACGTCGCCAGAGAGCAGCTACCGATTGTGGGGTATCGAGAGCTGTCATTTGTAATTCAGGTTCTTCCCAGAATATAATTATTTGAGTTTTTTACGCATATACCTTTAAGGTGTTATTTATTAGTTCAAGCAACATTTATAAAATAATAAACTAGAAAGATTTTTGCGGGGCTTTATATTGTCACAAATGACAGACAATGAGACAGAAGAAAACGAAATTAACTAGAGATTTAAGGGGGGGGCGAATTTGTGCCAGAAACGAAGAAGGGGAACACACGTCGAAAAAGCAGCAGAGAGCGTCGGCGGCGGCAGCAGCAGGCCACGGTCCGTGGGTGCAGTAGCTGCTATCGCGAGAGATACTTGTTGAATGAATCGGCAAGAGAACCCTTTCGAAATAGTGCCTTCTGCTGGCAGCTGCGGAAACCCTGCACAATGGCGGACTTAAAGCTCAACGTCACGGCACACTGAAAAAAACACACCCAGATGAAAAGGTGATGAGCGCAGTCACGTTTCACTTTCAACGCTGTTTTATTGGCTCGTTGGTTCGTAATGTTGTACGCGCTCCGACGCTTGCTATCTTATTGGATGAGTTGCACGTTACTCGATACAGTTGTTCCGCCATGTTGCAGTGGTTCCGACCTTCAAATAATTGGCTCTGTATCTACTATCCTCATAATCTCAAATGTTCGACCTAGAAGGTTCGGGAAAGAGCTAGGG